TGGGCTTTGACTCCACGTCAGTTCCCTGCAGGACACCAAAAATAAATTTTAAAATAAAACAAAAACAACACAAAGAGCAATTTAGTAGAAAACTATTGATAAAGATAATAAAACATTACCGAAAGCCATATACTCACAGGTGTGGCAAAGGACCTGCCCACATGGTCTTGGCCATAGCCGCTCTTGTTCACCAGAGGTTCGGCTTCAGCTATCATGTCAGAATCTGGGATGTCCACTCTAGAGACAGAAACAACAGGGAATAGAGATGTGAACCTCTGCACAATAAGAGCTGCTCTATTCTCTCTCTCCCCAAGCAGACGTCGGACAAGTTCTGACGTCCAGACTGATCATTCAGATTTAAGGGTGGGGAGAGGATTAACGAAGTTACCTCTGACAGCCGTCTAAACAGCGGCAACACATGAAATGAAACAAGCAACGAGGGAGAGTGGAAATTGGACAACAACAGATTTGTCTTTGGGGACTGTTAAAAGGGCAGAGTGACAGTCTGGATCCACAGCAGCGTTTGTGTTCCTCAGGACCACAGTGCATTTCCCTGATCCTGGAGAAGAATTCCCGGCCATTGTGAGTTCAAGGACAAGGGTGAGTACGTCACCTTCCTGTCACTAGATGAGCTGTTTTTATTTTATATTCATCCTTGCATATCCATAGTTTTGAATTTCCTTTTTCTAGTTTTCTTTTTTTATGTTTTATGTTATCTCTTAATTAACACATCTAACACAACATGTGGTGTTGCTGTAAAATAATTACATTTGATCATTTAAATAAATATTTAAATACCTCCCCCACATGCACTTTTTTAAATGGACACATTCCCGATTCGCTAACAAGTCCCATGTATTTAGTGCAAAAAAGATTTCCTATTCCTTCACTTTGTTACAGAAAAGTATATGTCAAGATTTTAACCACAGACTTACCCCACACATTCCTTGTTCCCTCCCGGATCATCTCTCATGTTCCTGACACTGTCATAAACAATAGTCGTTCATCAGTCATATTAAGAATAGATGATAAACAAACCAACAATCCATACAATACCAAGAAATCACCTGTTAATTTCTCCATGAGGAGAGGCTCTGTCGACATCGGGGGTGTTTAGGTCTTCACTGAAAAATAAATATGAGTTAAAAATGGAACCAAATCTCATAAACTGCTGTGCAGTTAAAGGGACATTTCAACTAAATCGTCCAATCAAAAAAAGGCTACAGGCACAAGAGAAAGTAAGACCGCTCTCATTCTCACTTTGAAGTTGACTGGATTTCCTCGTTTCTCAATTTGTGGTCCAGACTGTTACTCTGAGGATGAATACTAACGAGACAAACAGCTTTTAGCAGATTACAGGGTATTGACAAACAAATGGTCAATGTGGATAAAGGCATCATTACCCCCGCCATAGAGGTCATGTCTCCACCCAATTGTTTGATTTTAGAAAAACAGCTGAACGGACTCTCACGATTCTTACTTTTACAATAATAGTTTTGTAGTTTTCTACATAAAACGTGTTTCTTTTTTTTTGTTGATTCTTGGCGGAGGCATGTGCTCCACTGAGTACCATTCAAGTTGTTATAAAGACAACCTAACCTGACAACATGCATAGATCCATGAGAGCTGTCCTGCTCCACCCCATTTTCTCCACTGCCACGTGGATCAGTGGCAGAAACATATTCGACCAGGCTCCAATGATAAAGAAAACAAATTAAACATTAACAGAACTTCAGCGGACGTGTTCAACATCACAGACCTGTGCAGACAGTAGTTTCGATGATAGCTTACCTAATACCATTTTGTTGAGACTCTGTAGCAGCTGAGGCCTCTTGGATTTCACTTCCTCTAAGATGTCGGAAATGGAACAGTCACATATAAAGTTACAGTCAGTGAAAATGAAAATTAACTTTTACAAAACAGCAGCTCAACTTCAGTCACTGGAAGAATTGTTTTACCACTGATAACATGACTTGATATAACTCATTGTTACTTCATGACTAAAGTACATGTGTAAGCTCAAAAGAACAGGTTCAGTTGAAATGTATGTGACGAGTAGCTCTGACCTAGTTTCTCCTGTCCCTGAACTCTCTGCCGGTGTCGTGGGGCTCTGCTTTTTGATAGGATAGCGAGTCCGTAGGTATCTGAAATACTCAGAGCATGTAGCTGCTTTTTGCTGCCTCCTGACAGAAGGAACAAACAGCCAACAAACGACACCATGCAAGTAGAGTAAGAGTAAGTAAATGTTTAAATTACATTAACAGTTTTCTTTATTACAGACTGAAACAAAACTTACTTCATTTTCAATTTCCAAGACATGTAGCAGCAAAAAAGAACAATGACCACAATGAGTCCAACAGCTCCAAAAGCTCCAACAGCTCCAACAGCTCCAACAGCTCCATCAGCTGAGCGGAAGATCGACAAAATGCAATCATCAAATACTCAGTTGAGTTATTTACGTGAAAAACAGAAATCTTTTGATGCACTGGAATACTTACACATAATCAACTTCCTGTTGTAGTCGTGGCTCGGTGGTGTTTCAGGATCAGGTTTCATAGTATTCACTGTTAAATTCACTGGTAAAGAGATGAGATACTATACTGTGCATTTATGATATATAAATATATGTATGTAGTCATATATGATCAGTGGTGTAAGATCAGAGTAAATSAATAGTAAAGTAAAGTTATACTTATATACGAAATCTCATTGCTTACCAGAAACTGCTACCAGGAAGTAAAACCAGTTCTCTTTCACAAGTTGAGCCTTAAAAAACAAAAGCAAAAGTAAAGGCCACATTGGGAAATTCCCACATTCACGATAAAAGAGATCAAAATGACTTTTGTGGAATAAATTCACATTAATGGAACATACACATCACATAAAAGGGAAACTCACTTCATATTTCAAGACTTGTATTTGCAGATCGCTGCATTTTTCAGTAATGACTGAGTTGTTGTCCAGCCGGATCACTTCAGTCAAATGAATAGGTTTATTTCCATTTTCCCAAAAACCAATCTTGGTCTGCTTGGAAGTTAGAAAAATAAAAACTTTGATTCACAGCAGCCACAAAAAACCTTTATCAACCATCGTCAAACTTGTACTTTCCCTGTGTTATTTCCTCCTCACACACAGCGATTAAAGTCCTATCAGCATTTAGATAACAAAGCTGTGAATCACTGCATGATTTATATCAAAATACCTTGTTCTGATATATGTTAATATCAGCTCCACCCGGATGGTCGTATTTGTACTCGAAGCCATCAGATGTTTTAAGTTCAGCGCACGATACATTTTTCCGTAAAATGTCTGTGAGACAACAGAAAAATAAGATCTATCATTAAGAAAGTCAACATTTCTACATACTTGCAGTAGTCTACCACTCACCTACTGGTCCTGCAAAGAGTGGTACGATTAGAGCAAACAGAACTGGTACGAAGGGATCCATCTTGTGCTGTGAAAGCTGGCCACAAATCAGGAAGTGGGCTTTCTTTAACCGTGTAATCTGACACTTACACTTTTTTTGACGCATGTAACAATGAGCAGGGTGTGGTTACCAGTGGCCATAAAGGAATGCAAATGGTCCGCAGCTTTAATTTAATCATTTAATCCATGATTTGTTGGTATTTGTGAGAAAAACGTCCAGAGTGTGCCAAGAAACCATTCCTCACGCAAAGCACCACCACCATCAGCCTGCACTCTTGATGTCAGGTTTTATATTTCTGGTTTTGGTGAACCTGTGCCCCCTGCAGCCTCAGATTTCTCTTCTGGGCTGACAGTAATGAAACACAACATGGTCTTCTGCTGTTTTAGACAAGTCGCCTCAAGATTTGAAGTAGTGTGCAATCTGAGGTGCTTCTGTATTCAGTACTTGAGTGTCTATCTGAGGTACAGTAGCCTTCTGTCAGCTCCAACCGGTCTGATTATTGGCCTCTGACCTCTCACCAAAAAGACCTTTTCCATGCCCATAACTGCCACTCGCTGGATGACAGTAAGTAAATTTGGAGACATTTTGGGGTGAAACTCCCAGGAGATCAGCAGTTTCCCAAATAGTCAAATCATTTGAGGTCGACAAACATGTCAGTGAGTGTAATATGCATCATGAACACAAGGGGAGGCCATTGTCCTGTGGGTCAGAGATGCACATTGAGCCAATAGCCCTGACCTTTCTAAAGAGAAACGTCACTGAAGGGTTTTCATTTCATTCAAGATGAAACAACTGTAAATCAGGGTAAGGTTCCAACATGCTCTCGGAAAATACACATGGACATGTGTTAGATAAACACATCCTACAGCCCACATTGTGGCAGGTTGTTTCTACTACTCAGTTGGATGGATTTTTATTTATTCATGTTCGTTTGTGTTTCACTTATCCTCCTATTATCTTAAAGGACAGCTCATGGGATGGCACATCTCCCAACTTATTCTGACCATGAGAGAACAGAGGAAGAACAAACCCCTCTTAGTACTCAAAGAGGCCTCTGTCATTATCCTTTCACACACACACACACACACACACACACACACAGAGCAAAGATAAAACAGAAGCTGCCAGGGTGCAGCACGCTTCATTTACACTGCATCTTCTCTGGTCCACTGAGAAAACACAGACCGTACTCTGTGTCACTCAATATGGGCCCCTGCTCTCTATCTCTTCAACCTCGACCACTTCCCTTCCTCTACCTCTCCGTCTCGCTCTCACATTGCACAAGTTCGCCAGCCTAGTCGAGCAAAACTGTGCTTCAAAAACATACTCTCAGGTGTCACAATTATCCCATTGGCTTGTACGTGGGAATAGATTAATGTGGCATTGAAGCCAGGCACTTTTACTTATTATCCAATTTGGTGTGAGTAACCAGTTTAACATGGCATCGTTGGTGAATGCATCATCCCTCCTTGGCCTGAGCCTTACTGAATAGAGAAAAAAAGAACCTGTGTGGAAGTGGACTCGTCCAATCATCTGATGTATTTTCCACAGATATCAAGTGACAGTGGGAGGCCTGGATATCCGACCGTCCCTCTCCATATCCACAGAGCCCCTGCATAAACAGAGGAGAGCAGTGGTGACGCAGAACAGGCTGAAAACACGCACAAAGCCAGGAACATGCTTGTCCCACGTCCTGCACTCCCACAAACACTGCGTCTACTTCGACAGTCTGGATGGAGGACTGAATTCCAAATAGTGCAAACAGGACTTTTAGGGTAAATAATTACAAGTCTGTTGCTTTTGAATCCTCTCCTCAACCGTTTCCTTCCTGCCCCCTTCATAAGTTGACATCACAGAGGCTACGTCCACCTTCATATCTATGTCTTTGTTTATAAGAGGTAAACAGCTTTCTTACCATCTCACAGCCACCCCACTCACTCCTTCATTTTCTGTCCCTGTGGATGCACACTGATGGTATAAGATTATTTTATGAACAAAGGAAGGATGGTTACACTTGGTCCAGTTCACTGTACAGTGAATTCAAATTTAAAACAAAAACTGGGTCTACTATCCGGGGTGAGTTGTAGAGTCAAAGCTGACAAAAAAGCAACACCCCAAGAATCCTGAGTAGCTCTGACACAATAGTGCTGGCTGCTCAGTGCTTGGCTTGACTTGGCATATCACTGCACAACCTTTTCAAAATACACCCAGCAGAGAGTCGACTGCAACCAAAACACTATACACAGGCCAGACGTGACTCCTTTTAAGAAAACACTATCATGTTCTCACTATGAAAATGACTATTTTGACTTTCTCTACAGATTGCACACATTTTCCAGTTATATTATGAATGCAGAGAGAACAACATTGTGCCGTTTTCTTCCGGATCCCAACTGTTGAAGTGATTGAACTGTGGCTAGGAAAAGCATCAAGTCACTACGGGTGCTTTCAAGTGAACGGTAATAAGCATAATCCCTCACTCTGAGTGCGAGACCAAAGGAGAGGTGAGTTTGGAGAACGGAAAAATCGTGCTGTGACTGTTACGGGCTCTTTAGTCCATCCAGTCGGCTCAGTGTGAAGCTTGAAACCCCCACTGGCACAGGTTGGATGTCACAAAGGGACACACACACACACACACACACACACACACACACACACACACACACACACACACACACACACACACACNCACACACACACACACACACACACACACACCGCCAGCACAGGAAGTGCACCAACACCAACATACATAACATTTCCATTCATATATAGAGAGCTATGTACACAGTAGTCTCATTCCTCTGAGTTTCACCTAGCTCACACACACAGTATATGCATCATGTATGCTCTGCAGGACATTATCATTCATTTAATTCACATGCCCCAAAAAAAGAATAGCTAATAAAATCAGAAACTAGAATGGCACCTGGAGATAAAGCAGGTTATCCACCAACTAAAAGATCGACTGTTTCAATTCCAGTCTCCCTCATTCCACGTTGCAAAGTTGTCTATAGACTATAATGTTCAATATAAATAAACAGACTTACATTCCACTTATGAAACTGTATTTTAATTCACTACATCTGAATTTTTATTTGGCTCTTCACCAATGTGTACACACATAAATATCAGTCCCCTAAACATGCCTGATTTCAAAATCCTTGAGTTATTTTTTGAGATATCAATGAGAAAAAAGTCCTTTTTTATAATCTTAACAAAAGTGAAAGAGTAATGTCATTCTTTGGGTCATGCCCCCACCCCTCCACAAAATTTAATTGATAATCAATTTAGTAGTTTTTGCATATTCCTGCTAAAAAGCTGAAAACATAACCTCTGTGGGGGAGGTAAATGAAAGAATATTCTTAATGAGAGCTTGGAGAGGAAGCGTCATGGGAATGTATAAATAAATTAGGTCACGAGGCCTCACACAATGCACTGCACACTCCCACACAATCCTACACCTCTTGCACAAATATCAAAGCCCCCTCCCTGACCAACCAACTCTCCTCCTCATTTCCAAAACCACAGGCCCCCTTCACAGAGCCTGGGCACAGCAACCTGATCCTGCTGAGAAAGTCTTATAAAAGGAAGCAAATAAAACAAAGCAAATCAAACACACCTCTCAAAGTCCAAAGTGGCAAACGTGACAGATCTGATGTTCGAATATAAAGGCTCTGAGGGACCACATCACTGACATGAGGCCATAACATACAAACACTGCACAGCTTAATGCTCGGCAGTTTTTCTCCGTCTGCCGCTGAGACACATGTTGCGCAATCTCACAGAGCGACTTGGACAGCCCCTATTAATCTGTTTTCCAGCTCAATCTCCTGAGAGGGATCTCTGTCAGAAAACAAACCTCTCTGTTTGAAGCATGGCCTCCAGTTAAACTTGTTCAACTTCTGCCTTCCTCTGTATATTTCACTCGCTTTTTTACTCTGTTTTCTCTCCCACTTTCCCCCTCACTTCATTTTACTTCCCCCTGTCATCTCTTCCTCGCTCCCTACTCTCTTTTTACTCTCGTTCACCATTGTTTTCCACCCCTGTGTTTTTTTCTCTCTTTATTTCCCCCCCCCCTTTTGTGATTCGTTGCTGGCACAGGTCTCAGTGCTTGGCTGGGCGAACCCAGGGCGAGCGTGTCTTGTTACAGCAGCCCAGGCCCCTCCGATAAAGCCCTTCATTGTGAAGAATAATCCCAGAGAAACAATCAGTATTTTTATGTCGTGCCCTCTGTTATTTCTTTAGTACACACATGCAGTACAATTTAACTCTCTCTCTCTCTCTCTCTCTCTCTCACACACACACACACACACACACACACACACACACACACACACACACACACACAACCGTTTGTTCTGACACACAAACAAGCACAAGCACTGGCATGCACCACACACTGAGTGGACTCATGAGAAAGTATGCAAGACATTCAAATAAAATCACTGAGTTTGGTTTAATTTAGTTTCCAATCTGCTCTGCACATATTGTTTCCTGTCGTTCACGGCAGAATCTAAGTAAATGAAATGAGGGACAGGTGTTTGTCAAAGGGGAGTTGCTGCACTGCTACAAAATGTCAGTTAAGTCAGCATGTCTATCACTGCCATGTTTCCTTAAGGCAGCCCTGCCGTAGCTGTTCACACTTGAACGAGGTCTATTGTTGACTAAACACTGCCTTGTGTTTGGTTGAGCTGTGGGATCAGTGAGGTGATCACCGGAAAAATGTGGAAAACAAGAATTAGAGACGAGCGTGGAGAAAAGAAGAGAGCCAGAAGAGTAGCCTCTGTTTTAACTGCACGGGAAGTGATGGGAAAAGGCCATTTGCATTGCAAACAATGCAAAAGTGAAACTAAAAGAATTTACAACAGACATTTAGTTGGTCTGGCTCCACAGCCCAAGAACTAACCGGAACCGGTATCTGAGCAGCATAGACCAGTAGAAGTAGAACGACACTCAGTGGAGTGCATATCTCTGCTAAGGCCCAACTGTCTCCTTATGAAACCACATTCAAATTGTCATGATCCAGATTTT